TTTATAAAGTTTAAATTTCAATAAAGTTCCAACAATTCTTTCCTTTTTTGAATTGGTAATTACATTGACCTGAACTTAGTCAAATCAACTCACCTTTGTCTAAATCAACCTGCTTCTGAAATTACCAAAATTTCTTTCATGACCAGATAATCAATTATGTTCTAGTTGTCAATTGCACATATATATAATACCAATTCTAGAATTGCACGATCAATTGACAATTTAAAGATTAGATAACGGAAACAGCAATGATATATAAAATTCAAACTTTTATTTGTATATAGAAGTTATCACAAGATATCTTCAAATTCACACAGCATCTTCCAACTCGCATTACTGAAATTATAAAAGTAGATATTTAGCTGATACTTATTAAACTAGTATGGCTTATTATATTGTACATATTATCAGCTAAAAGCTTATTCTTGATAACTTGAACTTTTTGTTTTTCCAAAGTTGTCTCAAACCCTGAAAAATAACAAGGAAAACAAGAAAAATATATACATATGTTAGTACTACAATATTTAACAACTTAAACTTTTAAATTCAGTAGTTTAATGTGGTATCAAAGTCACCAAACATCATGAAAAAATAAGTAGAAATTTGACGAAAAAATAAATTTGGCATAAAAAACCAGCATGTATGGTGAATGGCTAAATTTGGCCCCTGTTTGACAACAATTAAAATGATTTTTTTTTGGCAAAATGAGTTTTGGAATAGTGATTTTTTTGGAGAATATGTGATTCAAAAGTATGAAAAAGTTTAGATTTACGTATAGAGTATTTTATTGTAAAAATGTGTGGATAAAAATGAGTTTGACAAAAAAAGAGGTTTTTTTTAATGGTTGTTAAACATGGGCTTAAATAAATGTATCCCCACTCTGTTTAAATGTTTAGATAGAGTGATTTGACTCATAATATATATATATATATATATATATACACACACATATGTGGTTGTTAAACATGGGCTTAAATAAATGTATCCTCACTCTGTTTAAACGTTTAGATAGAGTGATTTGACTCATAATATATATATATATATACACACATATATGGTTGTTAAAAGTAGAATATTTCCATACTGATTATAATCAATTAAGATTCTTCCAGCAT